ATTTCTCTTGGCTGCTTATTACATTTAAAGCAGGGGTGAAATGACAGGTTCTGGAGAACCAGTAGCAGAAATTTTGAGTAGTTTGGAGAACCAGCAAATACCACCTCTGGCTGGCCCCAGAGTGGAGTGGGAATGGAGATTTTGCAATATCCTTCCCCCAGGAGTGGGGAGGGAATGGGGATTTTGCAATATCCTTTCCCTGCCACGCCTACCAAGCCATGCCCACAGAACCGGTAGTATTTTTTTTTTAATTTCACCACTGTCTAGGATGGCATTTCTTTTAAGGACTTAATGATAGTCACTTAATATTCTTACCCTTTTGCAGTGTAAGGGCTGCAAGGAATAATAGGAGGGTTTAACCTACTGATGGAGGCATTCCTCCAAAGTTTTTGTGTGGGGTTAATCTTATAATAAGCTGCTACATGTCAGACTCAACTGGCTCAATCAACTACAAGTAATGCTCAGTTTATGGCCCAATTGGAGCCAGAATTTTCATTGCTAAGCAAGGCAGTTATTAAGTGAGCCCACCCAATTTTACAACCTTTTTTGCATGGTTGTTAAGGGAATCACTGCAGTTATTAAGTGAATCACATGGTTGTTAAACAAATTCAGCTTCTCCATTGGCTTTCCTTGTCAGAAGCTGGCTAAGAACATCGCAAACAGCAATTATGTTACCCCAACTATCATAAATACATACTAGGTTGCCAAATGCCCAAATTTTGATCAAGTGACCACGAGGATGCTGCAATAATCATGTGCTGTACGTCACTACAGAAACAGTGACTTACAGAGTCACTATTTTTAGTACTGTTGCAACTATGAACAGTCACTAATGGTTGTAGGTAAGGGATTACCTGTAGATTGTTCTTAGGCTGTTGTCAAAATCCCCTCAAGCTCAGCTCCAGGAATTACAGGAAGAGAAGGCCTGGATTTACAGTACTGTAAAATTCTGCCCAAATCCTAGAATTACAAACCATTAAGCAAAAACCCTGACTATCCAAGAGACAGTAGCAGACTTTCTAGTGTAGTCAAACAAACTCTAATAAGAAATTCTCTTTCAAAATAATGAAGCCAAGTCTATGGTTTATTTATTTATTTTACAAATTTACCTACCACCAAATCTCTGAAATGTAAGGAACTTGCATTTAAAAAACCCAATAAAAATAACACAAGGATGAAGGGTTTAATTGGAAAATGGGAAGAAGAGGGAGCAGCACAAGGATAGCAACAACCACAGAATTCCTATTAAATTCAGTGGAGTATATCCAGCAATGCCTTGTAACATACATATTACATACTTAAAACAATATCTTTGATCTCAGAGTATCTGCAAAGTTAATTGAGAGACCGCCTTCTGCCGATTACCTCCCTAAACCGACCAATTAGATCGCACAGACTAGGCCTCCTCCGAAT